TATGTTTTTACTCAGTTTGTCATGCGATTGTTGGTTACCAAATACTATCAAGCATTTAATAAGCCACCACTTATTTCACGAGTGCACAATTAACCCATGTACTGAAAGCCAAATGATATTGTGAGTTCAAAATTCGCCGGGACACCCAGGTTGATTTAACTATTTATATCCTAAGCCTGATATACCTATAATATAATGTTCAGATGTATATAATCCTTCATTTCTACATCCCTAGGTTACATATCCCAGCAATTTTTTGAAGCTGATGCTAGATGACATTTTTCCCTGCAAATACTTTCTCCTGACTTCTTTTCCCCCCTCACGATCATTTTACTGGTAAGGGAAGAAAGGAGAACACTATAAGATAGGATAGGAGGAAGGGGTGATGTCAAATCAGGTGACTAGATCATTTTCGACTTTAAAATAAAAAATAATGAACGAAATGAACAGCTGGAGATAGCATAGATGTTTTGACTTACGGGTTTCAAGGGCTTCGCGTGCCTCCCTAATTTCTGGAAGCTGATTAACTACTTTGCGAATTTCTTCTAAGTTTTTGGCAGATCTTGTCTCCTGTAAAAAATTGAATGCAGATAGTTAAAGGATCTTTAACCTATAACAGATTCTAGGTCAACTTACGTTGACTATAGCAGATATTTCTCTGGACCGCAAATTCAGTATAGCCCCCACAGAAGAGAAGTTTTTATCACGTAGTTCAGTGTAAAGCTCATCATTGGAATTGAGGTTTATGCGCCTCAATTCATCACCGGAGCTTTTGGGATTTTTATGAATCCGAGTAAATCCTTTAAATAGAATAAGTCAAGTTAACACAATGCCATCTGATTTACAAAACCATGCACATGTTATATAAAGATAGGTGATTTACTATAAATTATCTATAAAAATTTGACTTCAAATATTATGGAGTCTGTTTTATAATTATGGAAATGGACCATTCAAGGGATTTACATAATAAAGAAAAAAAAACTAAAATACGATGAAGCGTAAAAATAAAAGCATACCATATTTTATGCCAAATCTTTCAGAGATTAACCCTTCGTAAGTAAGTTGTCTGAGTAAGGGCGTTAATGGATCCATGACTCTATCCAGAATGACAAGCAGCTCTACCCGACCAGGACAGTCAGAATTGGCTGAAAGAGTAAAGGGAACAGTAAGTAATTAAGGCATTACATGAGACAGCTGCCTCCTGGCGCATCCTAAGGAGAAGGGATGCGACACGCTGGAAAATTCAAGTGAAATTAACTACTAATATTCCGATCCAACCGTTGATGGCATAAGCAAAAACTACGCTTTTTTACCTTTGCTTTATCCCCTTTAGCTCTAATGTGTGAAAATGATCCATAAATTGTCTGAAATTTTATCAACCCAAGGGCAAAGTAAACCAAATCATTTTGACCATCGCGTAAGCAAAGATTCTAAGGAAATATGTAATAGTAATATGATAGCTACCGAAAAACTTAGAGGGTTTTCCATAGATATGACATCAGTATCTATCGGCAAAAGGGTTAGAGGAAAATCTATAATGGATAAAAATCGTGTAATGGATTTTTTTTCCTTTAAATAGTTTCTGCAGACCAAAGAGAATCGAGGGATTGCAATGATATGATATTCGCGAGAATTTGATTTGCCAGTTGTTTCTCTATTAAGAATATTATTAATTAAGTATTACTGAACAACAAATGACTGAATTGAGTCCACCAGCTTAAGATCGGGTCGAACAATAAAAATAACGGATTTGACATTAGGTGGAGGTATAACGTTGTTAGAAGTCTTTATCACATATGTGTTTGAGACACCATGCTCCTGTAAAGTTGGTTTATTTACTTTTAATCACTTGGAGCAAGGAATAACTTATAATAAGGTTGACAGGCGTCATTAAGTCATTATCCCAATAAAGAGCCTAGATTTTAGGGTTAAAGTAATATATAGACGTTGTAACCTTCGGATTGGGTTTAGAGTCCAAGATTGTAAGGAGTTCAGACTGATAAGAATCCTTAAATAAGGACAAATTTACAGTCACATCAGGTGTATATGACATAACGATAGTACAGGTGCAAACATACCACCAATATTAGTGTGCATATAAAGTCAAATTAGTTTCAAAAAATTGTATATAGCTATAATATTTTAATTAAGCTTTTTAATTTAATATGGAACTAATCGGACAAGCCAATTGTAAAACTTCAAACAGATTAAACTTGTAGCTGCAAGCTTCTAGGACGTCATTCTGACTATAGATCTTGTCATGATACTTATACTTTGATAATTGTAGGAAATAACATAGTTATTTTTTAATTAGGAACTATGATAGATATTTAAAATGTGGATTATTCAGGTGGTCATGAAAAGGAAGGCCATGATTGCTATGTTCTTTCTCATGCAATATATGATGAGCAAACGGGATTCCTCCGGAATTAATTGTGCATTATGAATAGAATTGTATGGGCAAAAATAAAAATAAAATCAGAGTACTTCTCAAGGAAATTAAAAAATTGGGTAGTGGCACATAAGACTGGAAAATGGACAAGGAGCTTTCAAACGTGTCGAAATAGACTGCACGGAGATAACATAACATAACTTGGAAGACATCAGTAATAGAAGCCTCATAATAGTAAGACAAAGTTTGAAGAGGTCTTAATAGCTTTGCAGAGAAAAGTTTAATAAAGATGGCAAGAAAGAAGAATTAGCGAAAATTTTGCCTATTGCATGAGCAAACTCAGAGGAAATAATGAAACAGTAAAATACGCGAAAAAGTGAAGCCTACATCAATGATTAATGTAAAAATGAAATGAAAAGATCGAATGAAGATGCATGCAAGTTCGAATCCAGTATTTTACTAAGGATAAGGGATTTATGGAAGAAGCTAGACAAAATAAATTATCAAGGCTGAAATAATGATCATAAATCATCGTCCGATCATACTTAAGAAGAATCGTTTAGGTTGAAGAGTGAATGAGGCAAACATTATCATGTTTTACTACTGGCTAGTATATTTTAATATTACTAAAGCCATTGAACATATTATAACCAATAAATGTATATAATGCTTCCGATTTTTTTTCCTATAACACACCCTAGGTCTTAGTTTTACAGCACTAGGTCCCGTACTTTTTGACTTTGACACCTCGCAGTTAAATGACTTTTTCCAACTACCACTTTAACTTGGCTTCTACGCCATTAAATCATTTTACATGAAAACTCAACTCTTGCGTCCATACTCTGCTAAGTGAGATTTATTATCTTTCCAAAGGTGCTGGTAGACTCAGTGTAAAAATAGTGGAGGCACTTAATTTTAATATTTTGATCTAATGCACTAAGCATTACTCATAGTATACAATATGTCTACCTGTAGATTCTTCTTGTATAAAGTCTGTTTAACTGGTGCTACAACAGAATTATACACTAATATCTAATTGTAATTACTTCGTTTATTAAATTATTAGGCGTAGAATATGATGTTGAATTTAGCGGACCAGAGTTTAAATAATAATGAAATAAAGATCACATCTAAAATAGAATACAAGCAACTAACTAATATGCTAACGGCACTCGAAATGTTATCTTCTCATTTATGGACCTGAAATTTAAGCTTCTTTTCCGTTTAAAAAGAGGCTTCATTTAAATTTATTACTTGTTAAAAAATATATCTTTTTAGCTCTTAGGTAATATTACGATCCTATAATGGGAAAGTTTAATTAATATTAAGTAGGTAACAGGAGAAGAAAATCATTAAATGAAATCCTACCGTCTAGCAAAAATTGAATATCTGAATACACTATCTCAGAGATTTTAAAGCCCCAATAAAGACGTGCATCAATGAAAAAGCCTTCTGGATATTCTGAATAAGTCTTAGACCCCATCAAAATATTTTCTTAATATGAACCACCTGTTTTTTAAAAGTAAGTGGTTCCCGTTATTTTGCCTAACAGTAGTACTCTAACTAATATCCCGGATTACTCCTTAATCCTTTTACACAGAAACACATGATCTGCTTCCTGTCCAATAATAACTCCAATTTCCTTATCGTCACCTAAAATATATGATAGCTACTTACTCCTGGGTTATGCGTTTACGTAGGAGTATAAGCGTTCTGGAATAAGTTGAGTTCGAGAATCTATGTAATTCTTGAATATGAACTTAGTCATTCCAGATCGTTTAGGATAATTAAAGAAGATATAATTAATTTTCCAAGAATGAGATAATTAGGACTCACGACGTCATTGAGTTTCATTTAACAAGGCCTCCCAAAAGGCTCACTTATATATGTTGGTCTAGCATAAGTATTATTATGGGATTCGTTATCAAGTGGGTCACAGAGCAGATGTGACCTTTATCGAAAGTCAAGCCTCTCTCAAATGAAATATATAGTGGGAATGTCAATTAACCCTACTATTCTCATTGTAGGAAAACTCACTTATCTGCCTTGAAGTCAGCTTAATCAACTTAGGGTGACTAAGTACTAGGTTAATTACAAATGATAGTCTCGTAACCTAATAAATCAAAAAATAAGTAACTTCGTAGATTCAAATGGTGAATGCATGTTTACTTAATTGGCAATCCAACTATAAATGCGATTTTCAGAAATCTGTCTTGAATTTAATGTTGGTCTCTGCTTTGCTACACACGCTAACATGAATGGGTAATGGTGTAGTAGCCACTATACGCATGATAAAATTGAAAATCCCATCGAGGCAGTTGATGAAGCCTGAGTGAGGTTAAAATTGTAAACCAGTCTGAATTAGATAATCTTTTGGAGAGCAAGGCTGGGTGAAATTCAATGGTATCCTAGGGGCTAGTCATCTCGATTTCAAATAAAATTAGCTATAAGTCCTTAAATCATTTTAAGTCGTGTACATTGACTAAGTTCTTATTCAAAAATAGTGTTTGCATTTTTGTCCCGAAGGACAAATAAAGTTCATAAACTATAAAAACGCTTGCACTTTATAACGTTATATAAAGTTGGATGCCCCTGGACGAAGAAAGAAAAAGAAAAGTAGTATTATCAACTGTCCTATTTATAAACAGCTGAATTACAGTTCAGTTAAAAGAAAGTTAATTATTGAGGGTGGTGCTTAATAGGAGAGTCCAAAACTCCGCAGGTCACAGCGGAGCGGATAAAAGGAAAAAGAATAACGTGACTGACCTAGACAGTATATTTGCTGCCTGAAATACCCTTGCGTAGTTTTGCATGCCACCTTCTGATTAGTTCAAAAGATAGGCCCGATGCGGTGCTAAGCTTTGATTGAACAACGTGAAATAAAGAGTGGGGATTAATCATACTCTCACGTTATCTATGTCAAAAGGTGTTGAGCCATGGCTATGTACGTAGTACTCTCTCATAGTACTCATGATGATTTACAGAATTGGACATTGGTATATTCCCAGACATTTCGCCAGCATCGTCAGTGAGAAAGGTTATCGTTAGCAAAGCGATAACTTACTAAAGGGACAAGAAAAGGCAATGCCCTTCAACCGTTTTATCATCATTAATATTTTTTAGGAGTTGTCTGACCTTGTTTTCGCAATTCAGTCATATTGGTAGGAAGACTTAGAGGAACGCATCTTGTCCGGAGTCAATTGTATGCATAATCATTTTCAACGTCGGACCGTAGACGTGGTACATTCCCAGACGTTTCGCCTGCAGAGTAGTCGGCATCGTCAGTGAGTTTTGCCATTCGTAGCGCAATATTAAAACTCGTCAAAGAGACAAGTAAAGCCAAAGCTATGACCAAACGTGTGCTTAACAGTTATGGTATCTCTCCTTATGCCCTGGCCTATTCACATTTCCATATCCTCCTATCACGCCTTTACTGTCACAATTTTTTACTAGCTTAATTAGATGTGGAACGGTGTGCCCTTTTGAGCGGCTTTCATGAGAACCCTCCGCTGGCCTTCTCACACTGTTCATCCTTGTGCTGGGAATGTTGATCAGATTCTGCCATATTGTTACGCAGTCCTCCTTCCCTAGGTCTTACCACAGTCTTTCTCTTGCCTCGTCAGATACGTCTACCCTCTCCCTAGTTCACATATTTCACTCGATCCCTGCCACCCCATCTGTGTCACACGAGGCGTTATTCGCCTCCCCTGCGTTTAGGTGACTAATCCGAGGCTAGAGCCTCTGAGTAAGTCTCATGATCAGGCCTTTGCCACAGGGACCACGTCTCTTATAAGACCTACTGTCAGCCCACTAGCTCTCATCACCGCCGCGTCTATTATATTTCTATCTCTCATACCAAGTCTAGGACTTCCTATGCCCCAGTCTCTTGTGTGCCAACCCACAAATGTTGTGGTACGATATTGAACCTAGTCAAAGCAAGCAGTGGGTTGACAGTAGGTTTCATAAGAGACGTGGTCCATGTGGCAAAGGCCTGATCATGAGACTTGCTCAGAGGCTTTAGCTTTGGATTAGCCACCCAGAAGCAGGGGAGTGTGAAAAACGCCTCGAGTTGCAGAGATGGGGTGGCAGGGGTCGAGTGAATTATGTTAACCAGGGAGAGGGCAGACGGATCTTATGGGGCAAGGGAGAGACTGTGGTAAGACTTAGGGAAGGAGGAATGCGTAACAATATGGCAGAATCTGATCAACATTCCCAGCACAAGGATGAAGGTGGTTGAGAAGGCCAGCTTGGAATGTGGAGGGTTCTCATGAAAGCAGCTCAAAAGAGCAAACCTTACCACATCTAATTAAGCAAGTGAAAAATTGTGACAGTATATACGTGATAGGAGGATATAAGAAATTTAAATAGGCCAGGGCAGAAGGGGAGATACCATAACTGTTAAGCACATGTTTGGTCATAGCTTCGGCTTCACTTGTCTCTTTGACGAGATGTAATATGGTGCTACGAATGGTGAAACTCACTGACGATGTCGATTATGATGCCGGCGAAACCTCTGAGAGTGCACCACGTCCACGGTCAGACTTTGGAAATGATTATGCATACAATTGACTCCGGACAAGATGCGTTCCTCTAAGTCTTCCTACCAATAGGACCAAGTTGCGAAAACAACGAAAGGAGACTTAGACCGCACAAAAGGCCACATCATCTTGGTCTTCATACCTTCGATTAATATTTTTTGTTTCAGCTTCTAGGGTTGTATCTCTTTTCCACAACCCCACTCTATTTCCCCCATTTATCTATACACACCAGGTTGCGTTCTCGTTTACTCTATTGTCGCTTAATAATGTCGCTTAAATCGGATTTACTGAGGCATAATCATCTTCACCACTGGTTTCAGATTCAATTTCTAGAGCCTGTGCAATAGAACTGTATATATAGTAGTTCTGAAATAGATAAGGTAGATCTTTGCTCTTTCTCAGGTTTCTAGCTACAGAGGTTGTACCTTTCTTCATTCTTTGTTTTTATCTGATATACTGATTTCGGTTAAAGCATAGGTACGCTCAATTTGTATTTTTTACGTCGATTTTCTAAATTTCTATTAGAAGCAATTCGGTCGTCTACAGCTGTCTTTAATTGTGTAAAAATCTATCTCCTTATTCAAAGCCGACTTTGGCTGATCAGCGTAGCTAATTCGCGCCTCACCACCACTCTGTTTCATAGCGTAGTATCTACAATTCTTGCATCTGCATCTTAGCAAAGTCGTTTTGATCTCTCAGACTTAGAATACCGCGGCTATCCGGCGTAGGAAATAGTGGTTTTAACATCTTACCGTTGACTCCAGGTTCGCGGGTTTCTACTTTCTTTGGCATTGCATCACCCAGCTGCAGCTGTAGTAACTCAATCCTCATATGATCAATAAAGGCACATTGCAAACCATTGATTAGGACCGTAATCACACAAAATCTTCCTCTTATTTCCACTTAGACTGATTGTTCCATAGTACAAGCACCTTTTTTTCTTTCTCTTCTCACAAATAGACCAGGAACTTTGACATACAATTTCGTTTTGCATCTAGGAGGATCTCTTTGACATATTTATTTGTTTTGCATATGGATTTTCATTTTTTATTATTTGTGTTCATTGCTAACTATTCTTTCCACATTTTCCTTCCAAGC